AATATAATAGAATCAAGGACATAGAAAGGGAGTGGACTGACAATTCTTGGGGGGAAGGAGGTGTGGGGGTGCGGGAAGAGACTGGACAAAAATCGTACACCTATGGATTAGGACAGTGGGTAGGGGGGTAAGGGCAGAAGGTGGGGTGGGAACCGGGTGGAGGGGAGCTATGGGGGGGGAAAAAAGAGGAACAACTGTAATAATCAGAACAATAAAAGATTTAATTTTTTTTAAAAAAAGAAGAAGAAATGGCAGGAACTAATGAAATGTGTGTTGAAACTTTGAATGAACTTCCAGAGGTACTTCAGATTCGTGTTAATATAAGAGCTAGTAGTGTAGCTGTTTTTCAATAAGGGCCAGCTGACCACCAGATTTCACTGCATCCTGCTTCCACAGGAACTTTTCAGACTGTCCAGCAAACTGGCCCAAAGCAGCAAACACTTCTTCCTCCCATCTATGCATCTACCCCAGAACTAGCCCTACTTTCCCTTCTTCTGCCCCCTTATCTATAACAATGTGAATTCCTTCAAAATAACATATATTTCTACTCAAAGCTGTAAAAGAACCCCATTAAACCAGGATGGCGGAAATGCTTGCCTTCATCTCCCTGCTGCTGCTGGTTTAGACTGCATGTCCCAGACCTGGCTCTTCTTACATGGCTAGTCAGTAAACCTGTTCCTTCAGGAAAACTTCAATCTGCGAAGGTTTTGTTTCACAACTTTATTCCGTGTGGTCAGAGAAGAGACATTGTATGATATCTAGTCTTTTTAAAACCTATTAATTAGTTAATATTAAATTGTGGCTCATCATATGGTCTATTGTGGAAGATGTCCCATGTGCACTTAGGAGAATGTGTATTTTGTTCTGTGGTGCTCTGTCTGTGAGGTCTAGTTAATTGTGTTCTGGAAGTCCTCTATTTTCAGTCTTATTTTCAGTATAGTTGTTGTGAGTAGGATATTGGAGTCTCCAACTATTACTGAAGAAATGCCTGTTGCATAGAAATGTGTATTTCTCACTACAGTTGTCAGGCAAGACAGGTTTATTTAGGCACTTTGCTCTAGGCCAGCGGTTCTCAACCTGTGGGTCCCGACCCCTTTGGCGGTCGAATGACCCTTTCACAGGGTTTGCCTAAGACCATCCTGCATTCCAGATATTCACATTACGATTCATAACAGTAGCAACATTACAGTTATGAAGTAGCAACGCAAATAATTTTATGGTTGGGTCACAACATGAGGAACTGTAAAGGGCCAGAAGGTTGAGATCCACTGCTCTAGGCTAATGTGTGTTCATATGAAGAATCTCTCCATTTCATTAAATTTTAGATTTAGTTAACACATTCAATACCTGTCACTTCAGAAACTTCTCCCTGAAGCTACTGTAGTGCAGAAAAAAATCATATAAAAACTTCTTCATTATTATGTGTTCCTGTTAAGTGATAAAGAAAACAATTATCATATCTTTTCTCATTTAGTTATTACTTACTTGGACCAAAAATTATATATTGTGAACTCTCTGGAAATAATGTGGAATGGAGTGATAATCTACCACATTGTGAAAGTAAGTACATTCTCTCTTTAGATTTTACAGCAGCAGTTCTCAAACTTTATGGCCTGGGGACCCCATCATGCTTTACAATTAAGACCCCACAGGGATTTTATGCAAATGGGTCAGTGCTATTGATCTTCTTTATACTGAGATTAAAGCAGAGAAGTGTTTAAATAATCATTTGTTAATTCATTTTTAAGAACAATAATCTCAATACTTGTTAATAAATGCAGCATATTTTTGTCCTAAGATCAAACATTTCCAAAACAGTGGGAAGGGTGTCATTGCTTTATGTTTTTCTAATCTCTTCAGTATCTGGCTTAAAGGAAGAGCTCCACATTCATCCTGCGGCTCATCAGACAGTCTCAGGCCATTGGAAAATGTCCCTGTCCACTCTAAGGGTGACAGTGAGAAAAGACAAAATCGTGGCATACCTGAGAACCACTGATTCAGGAATAGTTGTAGCATTTCTCAACTAGCACTGAGTTTTCCTAAGTCATAAGTTTATTTTCTCATTAAATTGCCAGCATCTCTTATGATTAGAAAAAACAGCATGGCCTTACAGATATCACAAGTCTTTCTACAGGTATCTTCTATGAGTACTTAAGAAAATGGGTTTTATTCTAAAATTTCATTTCTCTATTGATGGCTGGAATTGGGATAATAACATTTTTTAATAGAAACTTTTTTTCAAATGGGTATTGAATTTGCAAATCGATGTAGAAATCATATGTTAATGAACTTATTGAAAGCATAATGCTATCTTAATCTTTTACTTTTTATTGTGTTTTTCTGTCCTCTTTCTCTCTTTTTAAGAGGTTTTGTGTAAACCACCTCCAAAAATACCAAATGGAGAATTCACCAATAGCCACAAGGTTTCATTTGAATATAATGAAATAGTAACTTACCGTTGTAAGCCTTCCGGTGGACCAGATGAATATTCCCTTGTTGGAGAGAGCAGGCTTGTTTGTATTGGGCAGGACCAATGGAGTAGTAACCCTCCTGAGTGTAAAGGTAATAATCTTTCCATTTCTTTCCCTCTCAATTATAAGTGTTGTGGAAGCTTTTACCAACTTTTAAATACCTTGGCCAACAAGTAAAAACAAAACAAAAACAGCCATATGTGCTTTGAATTTGTTTCTAATCTAATTTTATGTATCAAATAGAATAAAAAACAATTCTACTTGTAGAGTTTCCCACTCTTCACCCCCATGTTCTTGGCATTCGCTGTTTATGCATTATTAATCCTGTTTATATTGTTAATAGCTATGTATATGCATGAGTTAAATTTTTTGGCTTAAAAGCATCAAAAAACACACTACTTTCAAGAAAATTTTTTAAAATTTTGTTTTGTTGCTTAAAGTATTACAAAGAATAGTACATATGTCTCCTTTTTTTTCCCCCCCTTGACCTTGACCGAAAAAAAAGTTTTAAATAATACAAGAAGTATGACAGTTCTGGCTCAACTAAATGGTAGAATAAATTGTAAAAGACTAACCCTGTCACCAATAAGACTGATAAAGTCCAGGCAAAACATGCAGGCATATCTTTTTTAATTGTGCTTTGCTTTATTGCACTTCACACACACACACACACACACACACACACACACACATACACATATTTACAAATTGAATACTGGAACCAGCAAAACAACTGTAACCTGCTTTACTTCCATACTCACCTATTGCTGTAGTCTGAAACAAACCTGAAATATATCAGAGGTTTACCTATACTTAAAAAACAAGACCTTGCCTAACCGGTTTGGCTCACTGGATAGAGCATCGGCCTGCAGACCGAAGGGTCCCAGGTTCAATTTCGGTCAAGGGCACGAACCTAGGTCAGAGGTTTACCTATACTTAAAAAACAAGACCTAAGACATTTGAGCATGACCAAAAGCAGGACACACTGGGAGGTATTTGACACTTGAACAAAATTAACCACTGAAAAGCAGTAAAATATGTCTTCTTTTCACATGCATATGCAACATTTCTTAGTACCATATACTAGGCAATGTGTTTAAAAGTTTATTTTATTTCAAAAATTAAAGTTATTTACAGGACAGTATCTTTACAATGGAATGAATGTAGAAATAGAAGTAAAGATATCTGTAAAATCCCTAAATATTTAAAAATTATGAAGACATTTCTAACTAACCATGAATAAAAGAAGGAGTCACAAGGGAAATTATAATGTATGTTGAATTGAATGAAAATGAAAATATAATATATTGAAATATCAAAGTTTGTGGAATATAGCAAAAGCATTGCTTAGAAGAATATTCATAGCAACTACATATATTGGAACAAGAGAAAAGTTTCAGCTCAAGAATCTAAGGTTTCACTTTAAGGAATTAAAAAGGAAGAGCAAGTTGAATACAGAACAAGGAAACAGAAATAATAAAGATAGAAATCAATAAAATTGAAAAAATATAGAATTATTGAAGCCAACACCTTGTTCTTGGGGAGGATCAATAAAATGAATAAAGCTATAACCAGTCTGACAAAAAAGTAGATGACACAAATGACCAACATCAAGAATGGGAAAGAGGGCTTGACTGCTTTGGTTTAGTGGTTAGAGCATCAACCCAAGTGCTGAAGGGTCTATGGTTCAATTCCTGATCAAGGGCATATACTTTGGTTGCAGGTTTGATCTCCCACCTGGTTGGGGCACCTGCTGGAGGCAACCAATAGATGCATCATTGTCCCATCAATGTTTCTCTAACCCTCTCTTCCCCCTCCTCCTTCCCTTTCACTCTCTCTAAAAACCAATTTAAAAAATATCCTCGGGTGAATATTAAAAAAAAATTTTTTTTTAAAGAGAACATCACTAAATATCCTGCAGACATTTAAACAACAATAAGCGAATAACATGTCCAACTTTATGCCAAGAAATTTGACACTTAAACCTCACAAAGAGAACTGCAGGCCTCAGCCATCACTAGTTTGTTTTTGTTTTTTTAAATATATTTTATTGATTTTCAAGAGGAAGGGAGAGGGAGAGAGAGATAGAAATATCAATGATGAGAGAGAATCATTGATTGGCTGCCTCCTGCGTGCCCCCTACTGGGTATTGAGCCCGCAACCCAGCATGTGCCCTTGGCCGGAATCGAACCTGGGACCCTTCAGTCCGCAGACCGACGCTCTATCCATTGAGCCAAACCAGCTAGGGCCATCACTAGTTTTGCACCAACATTTAAGTATTCACAATAGCAGCTCTGCACAAACTCTCCAAGTCAATACAACAGGAGGGAATACTTCTCACCTCATCCAATGAAGACAGAATTACCCTGATACCAACACCAGATAAAATGTAGAAATAGGCACACAAATTGTAGGAAAATGAAAAACAATATCCACTGTGAACATAGACCCAAAACTGTCAGCGACGGTCAAGGTCACCTCTGCCCTGAGATAGCCTCTGGCCAGAGACAGCACTCTGGTCTTGCAGGGATGAATTCAAATAAGAGACAACAAATAGCAGCAAAAGCAGGGGAGAATTTACCTGGTATTTGGGAGTTCGGGGGACTTATACCCCTAGGCTGGAATGCCCCTAGCAAGGAGCAAGTCACCCCCTCCTCATGACTCAAGAAAATATATCTTCAAACATAACACCAGAGTGAAGGTGCATTATGGGCCCTATGCATCGCTCAGATTTAATCTCAGAAGGTGTTTTCTTGTATGTACTGCCCAGCCCAGTGTTTTGTTTTGTTTTGTTGCTGATTTTCCAGTTTCTGTAAAATGCATGGCTGGATCCTGAAATCAATCTGGAGCAGTGGTTCTCAACCTTCCTAATGCCGCAACCCCTTAATGCAGTTCCTCATGTTGTGGTGACCCCGAATTTCATTGTTACAAATTGAACATAATTAAAGCATAGTGATTAATCACAAAAACAATATGTAATTATATATGTGTTTTTCCGATGGTCTTAGGCGACCCCTGTGAAAGGGTCGTTCTACCCCCAAAGGGGCCGCGACCCACAGATTGAGAACCACTGATCTAGAGGGTCCTGCCCAGCACTTTGCTTTGTAAGAAGTAGAACAGAATGGGAAGTACCGGAGTACATGGGTACCAAGACTAACTATGAAGCTTTAACTTCATCTCAGACCTGGGAGATGACAATATAAAATGTGGGGTTTGATCTCTGCATTCCAGTCCAAAATATTTAGAAAACGCAGCCCTACATTCACTGGCCTTTCTACCTCTTGCACATCCCAGTTCTTGCATGTTGGTGATACCTGATAACGTTCTCTCTGCATATGTTTGCATGGCTAGCTTCTTTTCAGCTTTTTACCTTTGAGCTCAACTATTACCTTATTACAAGAGCCTTCCCTGCCTTTCTGGAAGGTCAGGGTACTAAGTCAGTGTCAACATGAAACTTAAAAAAAAAATTTTTTTTTTTAATTCCTAGAGCTAAAGAGCATCAAAAGTTGCTTTTAAACTTTCCTGAAAATTGTATGTGGTAATCAGACCTTTCTCAGAACTTGTCAGTAAGGGAAAAACAATCATCTATAATGACAGTTTGTTCCAGGTGGGAAAGGTTGTTAGATGTCTCTAGATCTGTTCACCTGAAATTGAAATGCACAAATAGGCCCAGCTGGGTGGCTCAGTGGCTGAGCATTGACGTATAAACCGGGAAGTCATGGTTCCATTCTGGGTCTGGGTACATGCCTGGGTTTTGAGCTTGATCCCCAGTAGTGGGTGTGCAAGAGGCAGCTGGTCAATGTTTCCCTCTCATGGATGTTTTTCTATGTCTCTCTCCCATGCTCCCTCTGTAAAAATAATTAATTAATTAAAACACTTATTTTAATACACAAATAAAGTATTTTTTATTTAATTAACATTCTGCCTTCCGCTCCTTGCCTGTTTGTCCCCAGGGGACGTTACTAATTTGCACTAGTTTTTCTTTCCCCTATTGAAACAGCTTTCCATTAATTCTGGGATTTCTTCATTTTTCAGTGGTCAAATGTACCTTTCCAAATGTCCCGAATGGAAGAGTGGTGTCCGGATTTGGGAAAAAATATCTGTACAAAGCAGAGGTTAAATTCGAATGCCTTGCAGGGTTTTACCTTGAAGGCAGCAGCACTATTGTCTGTGGAGCCGACAATACTTGGAAGCCTAAGATCCCAACATGTATTAAAGGTGCAAAGGGGTCTTTTTGTCTCTTTTGTTTAGATTTTATTTCTTTGACATTAAATAGCAATGATATGGAATAATTGAAAAGAAACAGTTTTGTTAAATTAACTCCATCTCATATTCATTTCCATGACAGAGGTATGACATCAAATGTATTGTTTTCGTAGGGTCTTAGCACATTATGTATTATCACACAGGTGTCTCAATTTCTGGCATTTCTTGTGTGTAAAAATGTATAGCAACCATTTTTCAGAGTCAATTGAAGCATGGGAATTTCTGCCTAAAAAAGAATCTAAAGTCTTTTTCATATAATTCCTAATTCCTATAAATTTAAAAATGCAATAATTTCAAAGTGATTAATCTCATTGTTGTTGTTGTTGTTGTTTTTTTTCAGGGGCACCACCACCTCCCAGTACAAAACCCACAACTTCCAGTTCCACAGGTTTAATAACTTTCTGCTTATATTAATACCTTGCGATTTCTTTTTTCCAATTCTTTAACTACCTGGTGATGTACATTCATTCACCATTTTTAGTAATGAAAGGAGGAAAAACATATTTACAGCCATTCTAGTTGGTATACTTCGTGATCATAAAACTATCTGCCACGGTCTGCAGACATTGGAACCAGCTTGGGCATGTTATGTAAACCTTAAAAGTGTTTACTAATATATAAGATGATTGAATGCCTTCCTCACTGGTCGATAGTCGAGTTAAACTGGGATGTACTCATATTTAAAGCAGTTAGCACAAGGCCTGGCATTTAGGAAGCTCTCAAAGGAAACTTACTTATGACTTACAGCATCATTCCAATTAATGTCAGCGCAAAGGAGAGTCCGTGGCTTTTGTTCTTAATACATATGTTTTCTGTGTCATCAACTTAGCCATTTTATTATTTGTAAAACGATCTGTTGACACCTTTACAAGGTGTCCTTGTGACCTAGGATGATGTTGTATTTCCCGGACTACACCCGGTTTCATTTGTTTCAGGACCTGGGAAATGTCTGCTGTCTCTAGAACAACCACCCTACCTTTTACTGCCTCCTAGAACTATTCTTTTTCTCTTTACTGGGCATTTTTATTTGGCAATAGAGGCAAATTTCATAGCAACGGAAAGGCAGGAGAAGTCCTTAATTATTGAAATGAAATGGAGGACTTCTTGTATGGACTGCTGGTCAACGGCTCTCCTAGACTTAGGACATTATTTTGATATGACGGAAGAAATTGTCTTCCTGATTGTAGTGCTGCTATCTCTGGCTTCTCTTTGTTTTCAGCAGAAACAAGAGACAGGAGAAACACAGTAGTCATCACTTATCTACGGCTTCACTTTCTGTGGTTTCAGTTACCCACAACCGTGGTCTGAAAAGATTAAATGGGAATTCCAGGAATAAGTCATTCATAACTTTTAAATTACGTGCCATTCTGAATAGCATGATGAAATGTCACTCTGTCCCACTATTTCTCACCCAGGCTGAGAATCATCCCTTGGTTCAGTGTCTTCACCTCACTTTTTCTCATCACGTAGGCATTGTATCATCTCACATCATCACTAGAAGGGACAACGCAGTGCAATAACATATTTTGAGAGGGAGACAACACATTCACATTATTTTTATTATAGGATATTGTTATAATTGTTCCATTTTATTAGTAGTTGTTGTTAGTCTCTTACCTTGCCTAATTTATAAATTAAACTTTATTATAGATATACATATAACATACATAGAGGTCAGTATTATCCAGGTTTCCAGGCATCAGTGGGGGTCTTGTAATGTACCCCATGTAGACAAGTAGGGAACTATTGTAGTGGAAGAGCTTTAGCCTGGGCAGAGCTCACACAAGGTCCTAATTTGGCTCAACTGATTCCAATAACATCATTTCTGTGGGCTTATTTTCCTATTAAACATGAGGGTGTTGAACTGGAGAAAATTTCAATTACTGGCTTCTAATGTGTTTGTATATTTCCTGTTGTCCTAATCATTTAAAAAGATTGTGAGGAATTATGCATGTTAACATGTTAAAAATTAGAACATCTTTTTAGAATCCTCCTGTACCTGGAACCTGGTAGCTTACTTGAGCGTTACAAGGTTGTGAGGGAAAGATATTGTTTTTGGCGGACTGATACATTAAGGTTGCACGTGAATTTTATACTCATCAGCCCATCCGTGTTTGCTCACATGGTCCTAGTCAGTATATGCACTGTGGTATGCTGTGTTTGTTGATATGTTCTTTTAAAAGACTTGGCCATAAGTATTTCAGAACGGATTTATAAAACAGTAATACTGGTTAGTGTTTCAAAGAAGTGAAGATTGTGAGGAAATGTTTATAAAGAAGATAAACTACAGGGCTCTTTTCTTAAATATCAAAAATCAGAATTCCTCATGGGACTACCATTTTATATAATTGGAGAAAAATATATAAAAAGGATCAGTAGCAACATGTAATAATGATAAGGTAGATTGAGGATAATTGTTCTAATATGAAAAAATACTAAGTGAAAAGCAAAGGGATAAGAATTCTGTGGTCTGATACTAATTGGATGTAACTTTTTAAAGATACATATGTTTATTTTTAATGTATTATTTTTATGATTTTTATTAATTTCTAGGATGTGCATTCTAAAATACAAAGCTATAGTGAGTATTCTTATGCAAAATCCATATGTACTTAGATCTATATGTATTTAGGTAACTTCCCAGAAGTAAAATTATAAAGATAGGAAAGTATGTGTATTTTTCATCTAGAGAAATAATCTCTTTTAAAAAATCAAAAATCAAATTAAATCCTGATTTTTGTATAAATAAAGCTGGTGAATGTAATCAAATTTATTTTTCCAGGTGTCAAGCCTACTGTTTCAACCACATCTACTAGTACAACTGCAAAAAAAACAGGTTCAGTAACTCTTTATTCTACTTACATTATTAAGAACTTAATAAGGTGATGAGCAAAAAATAATGTTATGTGTTCATTTGCATTTCTTTAATCCTATATAATAAAAGCCTAATATGCTAAGTGTCCAGTCATCCGGTCCTCTGTTCAACTAATCAGAGCATAATATGCTAATGATATGCTAAGGTTGCTCAATTGCTTGCTATGACATGCACTGACCACCGGGAGGCAGACAGTTGACTGGTAGTTTAGCTTGCTGCTGGGGTCCCGCTGATAAGGACTGAGCAGGATGGGCCAGACATGCCCTGGAACCCTTCCACAGTCCCTCCCTGGCTGGTCAACCTCCTGTGTCCCTCCGCCCCAGTGCACGAATTTCATACACCAGGCCTCTAGTTATAAATAAAGCTGAACTTTTTTTGGCCCACATTGATTTATTCATGTTCTTTGCTCATTTTTCTATTAGGTTTCTAAAATTTCTTTGTTCATTTGTCAGAACTCATTGTAAATTAATGCCCTTATAACATGAAGTGACCATTTTTCTAGTTCTTCTTTCCTTTGTCTTATTCTTACTAATCAGTCTTCTTTTAAGATTTTATACGGTTAGATGTAGATTACATTTTATAACTTTTAATTATATAAGTAGTATATAAATATAAATTTGTAAAATTTCAAATATTACAAAAAAGTATACGGAGTAAAAGATTGGTCTCCTGTTTCTCTATTTCATTTCCTAAAGTAATCATTTAATCATTTAATAGTCTTTTTTAATCAGTTTATGTACATTGCTATCCTTATATGCATAAATATACATACTTTAGTGTGTTTTTTTTGTTGTTGAACGGAATTGGAATCATGCTATTCATTTTTTTTTAAAAAAAACACATTATAATTTACTGTCAGTTGGGGTTGTATTTGAATTTATTCCTATGCTTTTAGTGGTGACTTTAATATATACCATATTTATTTAACTATTATCTTATCAGTGGTCATTTATATATGCAGAAGTTTTACATTAACAGGAAGTTGGATGCATGAATGTTTTCCTCCATTAGGTATTGTAGGTACCTCATAGACGTAGAATCACTTCTGGATGATTTCACTTCGTAAAATGTGTTCTGGCTTATTTCACTTAGCGTAACAGTTTCAGGTTTCATCTATCTTCTAGCATGTACCAGAACCTTATTCCTTTTTATGATTGAGTAATGTCCCATTGTCTGCAGTTACCACCTTTATTTTTTTTATCCATTCAGTTGGGTTTGTTTCCAACTTTGGCCATTCTGAATATGCTTCTCTGATAATTGGCATTTGAGTAACTGTTTGAGGCCTGTTTTCAACTTTTTTTGGGGGGTGGGAGAGGTATATACCCAGGAGTAGAGCTGCTGGGTTATGTGTTTACTTTTTGAGGAGCACCCATACTGTCTTCCACAGCAGCTGCACCACTTTAGATTCCCACCAGTGACGCACGAAGGTTCCAATTTATCCACCTCTTTACCAATAAATGTTATTTTGTGTGTTTTTTTAATGAGTTTTATAGTTGTAGCTCTTATATTTAGTTCTTTGATCCACTTTGTGTTCATTTTTGTATATGATGTAAGATAAGGATCCACCTTCATTCTTTTATATGTAGATATCCAGATTTCCAAGAACCATTGGAAATTGGTTGCCATTCCCCAATTAAATGTTCTGAGCACCCTTCCCTACAATCTTTTGACCATATATGCACATGTTTATCTGTGGGCTCTGTATTCTATCCCATAGGTCTCTCTGTATTTATGTCTGCACCACAGACATAAAGTATTATAGCTTTTGATTATTATAGCTTTTGAGTAAGTTTTAAAATCAGAAAATGAGAGTTCTCTCAACTTTTCCA